TGGTGAGATGTAACAGACATCCACAAGCGTGATCGTAATCACAGACCCATGGTGCCTCTAGGTTACAGGCGCCGGGTACAGACCACAACTGTTTCCAAAACCTTTCATTGACATCCATTGGAGGCCGTTTGTCATGTCCACCATCACCGTTTGTTTCCAGTTGCCTGTAAAAAATGCATTTCATTATTTCGAAAGAGTTTATTTTGTATTATAAATGTCTTCTTCTTTTACCATTTTTTCTTTCGTTCAGTCCAAACTTTTACTTTTGCCTTTAGGGAATGGACAATTTAGAGAATACCTTTTCTCTCGTTGTCTTGTATTGTCATTTTAATTTTCTCCAAATTCACTTTTATCTTTTAGACATTCGGTTCCCTGACGATGTTATTTTAAGACACAGCTCTATCTAGGAGGGGCTGTAGCCTATAGTGTTTGAAGCGTTCGCTCGTCACGCCGAAGACCTGGGTTCGATTCACCACATGGTTATAATGTATGAAGCCCATTTCTGGTGCCCCCCACCAGAAAATAGAATATTGGTAAAAGCGGCGTAAAACCCAACTCACTCACTCATTCACTCACCCACTCTATCCAGAAAATATTTCTTCTAGTTCCAGTAAGTTTTACAAGAAACCGGTTTTTCTTTGATCTTTTGTTGTTATCAATAGATGGTTTGTCTTTAGTAACTGTGTGAAGTTCCTACAAAGTTCGAGCAGCAGCACAGACACAGCAATTTACTTCATGTAACGAACAGCCCCTAGAAAGATTTAGAGAAATAGTTTCATTAAGTCACTCACTCACCCACTCAGTCAATTACATTTTTGGGGGGAAAGACACGTTTAGTTGTTTAATTGGCCTCCGTTTCTCTAAAGGTAAATCACAAATTTCCTAATAAATAGAATTGAACAAAATGTAAACAGGATTTTCGGAAAGATCTGTGAGGAAGAAGAAGAGTTTGGATCAGAAATTTCGGAGCCGATTGGCCGTATGTCGGAAGAGTTTCCATCAGCAAGGGGAAAGAGGTTGACACGGACGTCCATCCGAAGTTTTGGGTCTGCTTCCACTTGAGCACTCTATTGATGCAAAGGCTCCTGACGGGCTCCAGTTGTGGGTTCAACTGGCTCACGGGGCTCGAGATTTTTAAGCCGCCCCAATTGGTCTCGGAGCTTTTGCTCCGTCAGGTAAGCATACATGGGCATGGCATTGTCCCAATGAAGCTTCAGCGGCTTGCCATTGATACGTGCATTTTCAGGCCATCCTGTCGCTCTCGCACACTCAAGTAGTGTGGTTTTAAGATGGTTTGACCAAGATATTCTTGGTCGGGTTCTGTGCCTTCCCCTGCGGCAAGTCCATTTCTCCAGTAAGGTTGGTTTGACTACCGGGGGGAGGCTGACTAGGCTGCGGAGTTGAAAGATGATAATTGCCTTGGCTCTCGGTAACCGGAAGTATAAGATTGAATTCTGCGTGTCTATTGTTTGTAACGCAGTAAGTTCCTAGCGTGGTGTGTGTGTGTGTGTGTGTGTGTGTGGCGCCCACCACGAAGAGGCGTACATCGTCAGGCCCTTATCAATATTATTATTGTTTTATATTAACATTTATTATTATTAGTGATGTTATACATAATATACCTATTAGTATATTATATTGTTCTAATGAAGATATTACCCTGTTATGATCTGAATACGATTATGAGGAAACATGTTTTGTTTTGTTAAATACGGTAACCTGTTTGAATCACTAAGCATGTTTTGACAGCACAGCCGGGGAAAGCCACATTCTACGCTCACGCAACCATAACTTTTGTCGGCAGAGCTACATCAAATTTGGCTATCTGTTTTTGAAATGTGGTTTTCCCGAACTGTAACCATTCACCAAGCAGTGAATGGGTACCCGGTAGGATAAGTCATGTGACCACTAACCCTCTAGAGCCTCATATGCCATGTGACCACTAATCCTCTAGAGCCTCATAATGTGGTTTTCCCGAACTGTAACCATTCACCCAGCAGTGAATGGGTACCCGGTAGGATAAGTCATGTGATCACTAACCCTCTAGAGCCTCATAGGCCATGTGACCACTAACCCTCTGGAGCATCAAAGGCAGCTTGGGCTATCTGGGGCAATAATGTCTATAAAGTTGTATGCGCTTAGAGATGGCTGTGCGGCTTTCGTTCCTCGGTAGAATTAGCTTGTCCTGTTCTACCAGAGTCAGTTCCCAGAGAAGCGCATCTGACAGCCTCAATTAGCTTCTAATTTCTAAACCACAAAGGTTTGTACACCTAGTATGAATGCACCTAATACCCTACTACGAATGCTGTTTTCGAATGTTAGTGAAATAGTTAGCTATGTTGTTTAGGTATTTCTAGTCAACGTGTTGTCATGGGGAAATATTTTAAAATTATGTAAATTGATATTTCAAGTTTTCTAACATTAGTGGCTCTGATAAAAAATGTATTTCCTTAAAATATGCATATTGATGGTATTATCTTTGTTAACATGTTTGCTTGCAAAGTAACATTTTCCATTTTCTGTTTACACATAGCAATATCAATTGCCAATACGCAGCAATATTCAAGCAGTATTTACATCCATTTCATATGTAGAATTATTCTATAGGGTATAAAGAGAGCATAGAAGACATGATCTGATACACAAGTACCAGAAATATGCCACGATTAACAGCTGAAGGGAGAGAAAGAGCCATCAGGATGGTGCAGATGGGATCGACATACAATGCTGTTGCCAACGCCCACGGATGCCACCGTATCACGGTTATAAGACTTCTTCAGGGCTTCAGACAGACGGGATCACCGTAGACAGACCAAGAAGTGGACGTCCACGCATCACAACGCCAGCTGAAGATAGGTACCTCCGTCATTAAGGAAGGAGGGTAACGTTTCTTTTGGCGTTTAGTGTATTCCAGTTTCACCCACTTCCTGTTATCGTTCCTCAACGAGACAACGACCACGTTGCAGGTATTTTTATATATTACTGTACTTTAATGACTACCATCTATGGGATTAACTCGATAGCCGTGTCCAGCAACGTCAACTACTGACTCGAACGCTTCCGCAATTTTGCCAGGTATTATCACGCTAAGTTAACGATTGTGTGACAATTGTCTGTCAGAATACATAACATTATCTATGACTTTTATCAGTTGAACACTCCGGTTGCATGAGTTTTGAGAAATTGTATCGGAGCATACCGATGCGAATGGTCATATTGAATCGAGTCTTTTGAATTTGCCTTTTGTAAGCAGATAGAGCCTAAGTTTATTATCTACACAAATTATAAGCTTAGATTTCTATTCTAAGCCTCGCCATCACTCATACAAAGTGTTGATTAACACCAAGTTCACTATTGCTAACAGGAATTTGTCCGCAGCGTGAAACCAAAACAACAAAGGAATGTGAACAGATGTATTCGAAATATAACTATGTTTACTAATATATACAAATCACTTCAAAGGAAATGCACTGCCACTAAAATGGAGTTGCCATACAAATTCAAGGGCAGCATAATAAAAAAAAACAGTGATTATAGTAATACAGAGAGTGATGATGATATTCACCGTGCTATAAAAGGGGTCAAGCCTAGGCTGAGTATGCAGGGTGAAAGTGATCTTCACACAACATCTGGACTTCTTTTTATGTGATATGTATGGCGCAAAGACTCGTCCCATATAACGGGATCGGGTGGTCAGGCGCTCTGACATGGTTGACACATATCATCGTATCCTAACTGCGTAGATCGATGGATGTTGATCACTGGATTGTCTGGTCCTGATTCGATTGCTTACAGACCACTGCCATACCATATAACTAGAATATTGCTGAGTGCGGCGTTAAACAATCAAACAAACAATCACTGCATCAACTTTCCATCATTCAATGTTTTAGGCAACGACAAACGTTTACGGTTCGTTGTGAAATAGGGATTTCATTTCATTTGTTACAATTGGATATACCCGTAGATTCAGACATTGTATGTAATAGGTGTTAACAAGTTGTTTTACCTGGCCATGCTCCTGTACATTTGGATATACCCATAGAACAGACATTGTTTGTAATAGGTGTCAAGTTGTTTACCTTGCCATGCTCCTCTACATTTGGATATACCCGTAGAACAGACATTGTATGTAATAGGTGTTAACAAGTTGTTTACCTTGCCATGCTTCTGTACATCTGGATATACCCGTAAAACAGACATTGTATGTAATAGGTGTTAACAAGTTGTTTACCTTGCCATGCTCCTCTACATTTAGATATACCCATAGAACAGACATTGTATGTAATATGTGTTAACAAGTTGTTTTACCTTGCTATGCTCCTGTACATTTAGATATACCCATAGAACAGACATTGTATGTAATAGGTGTTAACAAGTTGTTTTACCTGGATATGCTCCTGTACATTTGGATATGCCCGTAGAACAGACATATGTAATAGGTGTTAACAAGCGGGTATTTTAAGTTGGATTACTTGTCCCCAATCCCTTTCACATTTGTGAATAAAATATGTTTAAATCAAAATCAACAAGTTGTTTACCTGGCCATGCTCCTGTACTATATTAAGACCACGCCAGTACTGGAGCTTTTTTACTGGAGGTCGCTGTGACACAGTGTACGCGTGCTATTAATATAACGAGTAAGCCTTTTATCTATGAATGTATGTGGCATGTCGTCGTTGCCAGATAAAGCAACACTCCGATTGAAAATTGAAAAACTTTACTGATTATATCCTTATCTGGGTGTAGAGGTTAGTATTGCACAGTCACATTCAGGAGGCATCGTGTGTATGTAATTGAACCAGCCGTCATAGTATATGGATATATAAGCAGCTGACCTGTGTTGCCTGACAAAGTGATTACAGAAGGCTGCCTCACAGGGAGTTATCACGGAACAATCTTACACAGTTACCCACCACGTATACACCCTTAGATACGTAGTACGTAGTGTTGGTTATTACTGGTGGGACTGCAACTTGTCAGGTGAACGTTCAACGTGAATGGCAGGGGTGCAAGGTGAGTGTTAATTCCTTTCAATCCGCAATTTCTAAAACATTATCCGAAGAAATTAAGCAATAGCTCCACGTCGGACTCATATGGGGGGGCGGTGGGATAGTCTAGTGGTTAAAGCGTTGGCTCGTCACGCCAAAAACCCGGGTTCGAATCCACACATGGTTACAATGTGTGAAGCCCATTTCTGGTGTCCCCCGCCGTGATGTTGCTGGAATATTGCTAAAAGCGACGTAAAGCCAAACTCAGTCAGTGTACCCATATGGAGTATTTATCCAAGAGACTTAAATACGTATTCAGCTTCACAGCTTAGTGTTGTTTGGTCTATGTGGACATTACGTAATCTACAAGGTGTGGAAAATTGAGACGTTTACTTTATGTAATTTGAGAATTAATTAATTAGGGCCTCCGGTTGACTAAACACTCTACTATAGTAGACAATAGTTTTAGTGGAATTATGTTGAGGTAGGGAATATGCGTTCCCATCCCAGTAAACAAAACAGAAATATGCTTTCGAAGCAATGACTATTAACTTAACAGATTGTCGCTCAACAGCATTGCTCGACTGGTCGTCTCCTTGAGTTAAGAAAATACATTTCGGAGCTAAACCTGATCACATTTCATGTTTAAAATACATAATGATATGTTTTACGCATTGAAGTTTGACCTTAAATGATTGTGGCAACAAGTATTGGATTTTAAAAAATACATCGTTCTGTTGAGTAGCGGTGTTAATACTTTGGCTCATCACACAAGGGCTCTGTTTCTGTCAGCATGTGTTATGTATCACATAATGGTGATACCAAGGGAACGTATCCTACTGCTCTGTTGGAACCGATCATACAATTCAATTTTTTATCCGAAAATACTGGGAACATACGTAGACATAGACAATTGCATTAGAATAGGTTGTGTTACTCAGTACTGTAGCCTCAGAATGTAAGTTGGCTCCATCTGACTGCTAGCGAATTTCCAAAATATTTAGTGAGGCCTTGAATGTTGTACCCTTGATGCAAATTCTTCTGAGCATGAATTGTATGTCGATCTATAACAGTGTACCTCATGAGATGTGATGTATTGTTCGCAGGTAGTGAAGTAATCGCTCTCGTTACACTGCCTTCTTTTGACCTTCAGAAGCATTATGGGCAGATCCAAACAGCGAAATCAATACATCGATTATGATATGATAAAACACAGTATTGCTTGTCATTTGTTCAAGTATTACTTATACTCTTCAACGATATTGGATCTGCCTTAGCTTGACAACCATGCCTGGAAACCTGAACGATTTATATATCCACTGGTGGATGACGTCCTACAGAAAAATACATTTCTTTGTGATATGAACTGATTCAAAATTTCAAGCATTTGGGATTTTTTCTTCATACCACAGAATTCGGTTTTGGATTTGTATTCCTTTCATTTCCTCATTTTTCATTTCTTCCATTTCTTTCTTATATTTTGATAGTTTATTCAAAAGTTCATCAATGCTTTGGAAGTTTTTTCGAATAGTATGTTCGACCTGTTTTATTTTTAATTCTAGTTCTTCTGTATGTTTTACGTTTGTTTTCTTTATGTAGGATGAAAAAGATATGGTCTTTCCTCGGATTTTCATTAATACTGTTTCTAGAAATAAAGACTTGGAAAATGTAAGTTTAATATTTTCAGTGTTTTTAAAGTTATCCATTTTTTCTGTTGAGTATTCCTGAACAGTGTCATTTAAAATCGTTCTGACTAAGTTTCCGTATTCAGGATTTAACAACAAGGAATTATTAAACTTCCAGTACCCATGTACTCGTTCCTAGCTTAAAGAGTTTGAAAAGGGTAATGTTATTGTTGAGTGATCACTTTTATACCCTGGCAAAATATCTGAATCCAAAGTTATATCAATTTTTTTCTTTACCGCCATCTTTCTGATAGATTATTTCCTGTTTTGTGAATAAAATTAATGTAATTATTTCAGATGCCTGTGATTTGTGCGAGACTGCTGTTAATGATGACGACATCCCTTTACAAGAGCCATTTCGCCTAACAATCGACATCAAAGCCACCCTGGTCAACAAACCACTCACAAAGGAAGATAAGAAAATCCGGAAGACTGCCAGGGAGGATAAAATTGAAGAGCTGACCAAAAAGGTTTCAGCCTTGCGAAACGCTGGAGGAGGGGCTTTGTTCGTTCATCTGCAAGGTCTGTCACCCAATGATCGCTGTCTCGGGCTCTTTAACGAATATGTCGATGACACGTTAACAAAACTGATCGAAGACGGAGTTCTGTTTGTCGACACATACACCAAAATCTGGCTGAGTGAACACACGACGAGTGAAGGATACCAAGAGTATTTGCTGCTTATTGTTAAGTCATCCCCTTCTTTGACCACAGCAGATTTCAAAACCAAGGTGACTTCCGACGAAAACTTAACACGTCCAACAACCCTCAATATTCAAAAATTGTTGTTCAGCGAGAAACAACAAAAGGAAAAACGTCCAAGAATAAGAGGCCTAGAATCCATCCAGGAAGGCAGGGATATCGAATTTAAATCATTTGACAAGACATTATTTGATGGAATCATTACACAATCAAATGTTCAAAAAGTACTAGAATACATTTGGAAGGATCTCAGACTGAGAGAATATATTTCCTGTTTCACAAAAAACCAAGACGGTGGTTCCTATTACCTAGGAATAGGCGAAGGTTTAGAAGACATTACTGGTTATAATTACAAGACAAAGTCCAAGATCCTTTCTGGGATTCGTGTTGAACCGAGCTTACACGAGACTGTAAAAAAAGGTTTGACAGAGTTGATCAGGCAACACACAACAGTTCAAAAAGGGAATGTAGCCCAACCTCGTAGTGCAGACTCGCTGGTGAAATTTAAGTTTCATGAAGTGGACAAAGGCCGAGTGTACATCCTTGAAGTGGCAGTAGGGTACACGCCTGGATGTGTCTTCTATGATACGCCAGACGTCTATACCATGGTTGAGGGGAGTAATCAAATGAAAGCAGTAGACTTCTCCGAGTGGCTTGAAAAAGTGAAGACTTTCCAACCTGCTCATCAGTCCAAATGAGTGATAACAGACGACAAGAAGGAGTGATTTGATAAGTGGACACATTTTAATACCGGACAATCTGACTGAAGGGACCGATAGCCCTTGAGGGTGTGTCCTGTCATTTTCAACGTTATCTTCAAGGAGAAAGTTACAAGTCATATATTATAGCAGTAATTGGTATTCCGCCCTATTTATTGCCGATGTGACGTTAAATATTAACTCACTCACTCACTCCGCCCTATTATGATAGAGAAAATGACTTGTTGCTTATAATCTCAATCATCACAGGATAAACAAAAGTTTCGGACTGTAGGCAGCTGAAACATTGCATATGTCCAACTGACAATCAAGCTGTAAAGATGGTTAGTGGTTGTAGATGTACCGAAACCTTTGTAGTGGGACTAGCTGAGGTCATTATTACATTTACTTCAAAACTGTTTAAACAGATGTGATCCAGACTTTGCGTGTGTCCCTTTGAATGATCCCTCGAATTCTGTTTTCTAAATGTTCGTAAAACCTAATAATTAAATCTTTTTATTAATATTGTATGGTATCCAGGTGAAGGAAAGCGTGTGTACCATGGCCGGTGTTGCCTATATGAAAGGTAAACACTTATCTACTGTACCCCTTGTTTTTATTTTTTAAATCAGTAAAGAGATATTCAGATATTACCCAAAACGAAATGCTCATTGGAAATGTTGCATTATCCCGCGAAAAACGTCTTACGTTTCAGGTCTGGTCACAGAGATTAAGTTTGTTGGTTTGTCATCGTCCAACGGTTAATCCGACGGGTGATATTTGAGATCTTTATTTCCTAACATTACTTGCCATGATGTGATATCACCAAACTTGTGCTAAAAACACTCATTCTTTCAGAACCACGAAACACAGAAGTTGTTGTTTCATGGCCAAGTAACTCCCCACTTCTTCCGAGGGTCAGACTGCAAGAGAAACTATTTGAAGCAATCCAGACGCATGTCCTCACTTCTGGTGACGTATTCACAGCATACATTATGATGACAAAATCTTAAGTGGGACAAATTAGTTACATTTAAGTGGAAGTAACGTTTTGTTTATAATAGTGAGGTAATGAAGGCAGAAGCTATAACCGGATTATCGTATTAATCACGAGAATATCATATAGGTTAACATTCCTCTATCAGTTATCATCTATTGAACAATCATGACGACCAGTGAAGGATGGGTTTTTTTGCAATGCTTTGTTTCTTCAGGTAAGCTGTCGGTATATCCACCAAAGACTGCACGCACCATGTCAGACATCCTATACCAGAGAATTCAGATTCATGGAAAACATTTCGAAGGAGGATTGTCTTTTGTGACAAGATCACTAGCAGTGGTGTTGAATCTTCCGAAGGTTGATATTCCAGATGGAGTGATATCGGAAGTATTCTATGTTCTTCCAGATCGTCCATCAATGATCCTCTGCTTTGTGTGTGAGAAAAGAGACGATCTCGGGAAATATGTTCTCCGTCTTGCCCGGAGAGCAATAAATCAAATCCGGAAGTATACAGATGAACATTTCAGCGCAGTCTATGGTCTCCTGGACCCTGGTGATTTAGAATCAGACAACCTATTCGCTGATGTCTTGAGGTCGATTGAAGACAAAACCTCTGCTTTATGCAGCTTGCATGCACTTAGCATGAACAATGTGAAATGTATGAACATAATACGTGCCTTTCTTGCTGCAGTAGCAGTTACTGATCTCACAGAAGGACACAGCATGAAACCGGAACTGCGCTTACTGTCCAAACAACAGTTCTGCAATTTGGTGGAAAACATTGATAAGGACATGGTAGTGATTGACAAGGCCACAAGTACAGAAGCAGATGGATGTTCAGAGATACTTATGATCGAAGTTGCAAGGAGGCTAGAGAAGAGGGGACCAACCATCCTTCTTGTCCAGGAGGACCTCAAGATAAAGCTGCAGTGAGTGGTCGGACTCATAATTCAGAATATATACAACCACCATAGCTGTTCCATACCTTACCGGGCCAATGCTAATGTGTGTTTTCTGCACTGCCCAATGGGTACCTGTAAGAAGGTGATGTATTTACAATGATAAATGAGGATTTGGACTAAATAACATATCTTTTTTTTCCAGAGAACAACATGCAGACATTGTGTCTCATATACTTGCTTCTGACGAACTGGAAGACGTTTCTAGAGATAACTATCCTAACATACAACACATCGTCGCAGCCAATATGAAAAATGAATGACATCAAGAAACTTCAACCAGACCATGAAAGAAGTGGACAAACTGTCATTTGGCTTTTCCACAATTCTGAGGGTAACTATGTAATGGAATTACTAACTGGTTGTAAACTAATCTACATTAGATATTCTTACAACAGGAAGAACGAAATCAGAGAGTTTAAAATGTATATCACACTGATATTATATCAAATTTGCTTTTGATATTCTGACAGCTCAAGAAAACGCCACACACGAGAGGACGCATTCCCTTGAGCGTGCAGATGAATTGAGAGACGACAACAGTGGTAAGAACAAACCAATTCATTATTTTGACTCCACTGTAAATTGATAATAAAAATATATATACTAATAATACTCTAAAAGGCTCTCAAAACATTGTAAGGAAAGGCTTTGTGATTCATGGGCAATCTCATGCTACAAGACAATCTGACAAATAGAGATATAATGTTGGGTCCAGGAAAATGTACAACCAAATCCATGTTGCAAATAGTGACCGTATTGCTGAAACTAAATGTGGAAGAATGATTGTACATATTCTCAAAGTATTTGGGACCAGTGGAATAAATACCATATGGGTTCATAAAATAAAATGATTTAAAATAAAGTTCACTGAGAAAAGTGAAATGTGGACTTCTCATAGACAACACAGTGAGACATTCAGTGAGAGGACATTGATCAGAGTAAACGCCACCATGTGTTCCACTTTTCTATTTTCTTTACCGAGTCATCAGGTTTGAACAAAAAATCTGAACAAGAGGATTTTGCAAAGATGTCCGACTTAAGAGTCTTGGTCCCGATTTCGAAACAAACTATGTCTATTTTTTCCTAAGTTAGAATTTTATATATTCTCCTCAAAAGTATTTAGGACCAGTGGAATAAATACCATATGGGTTCATAAAATAAAAGGATTTAAAATAAAGTTCACCGAGAAAAGTGATAATTTAGCTGTTTCAAACTGTCAAACTCAGTTAGAAATTTGAGTAAGAACTTTTGTTTCGAAAGAAATGTGGGCCTGGTATATGGAAGATATCATTCCATAATGGACAAATAGCCAGTTCCCTTCCACTCATATATAACATTAGCTAAATATCAACTTGAAACAGTGAAACAGCCTTGTCCATTTCAAAAGCATTTGGATCTATACATCAGGATTCTTATTCTTGACATGGAAAAAACTGTATGACAAAGTAATGGTTCAGCCTTTCCTTCCTGTTTGCTGTCTGTCGCTGTGTGTGATGTTGCAACATACCTTTTCCCACCTAGTATCATCGCAAGCTTATGATACAGGAAATTGAACGATGCAGCTGATGTCATTCATGTTTTGATTTTCCATGCTGCATTTGTACTTACAAGTATTGTGATCTTTTATGATTCACTTACTTTCAGAACTCAGTTTTTCTGGAGAAACATCTACTTATGAAAGTGCTGATGACATGAGCCATTCTAGAAATGAGGATGGGTACTGGTCGGAGGTGACTGAATCTGATGATGACGACATGGAGGCAATACAATCAAGTGATGATGCAAGGGAAGCAGGTGAAATACAGCTGCAAGATAAGTCCAGAGATGACAGTCTACGTGGTAGGACTATTTCCGAATAAGCTTTGTCTAATGCTGCCTTACATTATGTTTGTGGCAATGTTATTATATTGTCATCTTTGTAAATTCTCCACCTTGCCTTATGTAAACATGTTCTATCTATATATATTGACTCTGTGCACTTTTGACTCAGTATTCACTTGATGAAGGAGAAAGAATTATCTCTGAAACATCCTATGAAGAACAAAAAAAGAGAAGTTGTTATCCAGACAAATGTCATGTATTCATTGCTCATCTGATCTAACAGGAATTTCTAAAAACGTTCAGACGTTTTTTCAGCTCTTGTGTTCAAATGCCAAACCGTCAATCTTGCACAAAATATTTAGTTAAAATACCACTATGATGAATATTTATGACTGCATATTCCAATTTCAGACTGCTGAGCAAACCATCAAGCAATGTATTTCAGGAATGCAGCATCTTCACCGTTGCCCTCATGTGACAAAATGCCTTAAGGAACATTCTTGTACAGCGATCATTGGTCAGCCCGGTGATGGCAAAACTACTCTTGCTTTCCAGGTTTTGTCTGAAATGCACAGAAAGAAATGGAAAGTTTATGTTGTGGAAACACCACAGGATTATTTTCGGATCCAAAAGAGTGACAGGTATATCATTCTTTTCAGCAACATTTTTGGCAATCCCAACTTTCAGTTTGACCACTACCGAAAAAATGGCATCCTGTCCTGCTAGACGTAAAGTCAGGAACAAAATAGCGTCGGCTTCAAGATGTCAAGTGGTATATACAATATTCCTGTTCAGGAAAAATGTGTTTCAAACAGCACTCAAATATATCACTCCTTTCAAAATACATTTTTTTCTGAACATCAAAGAATTGACTTTGAAAAGATTTATAAAGCAGAAGAGAAAATAACACTGGATACTGACAGGACAGCTGATAAAACATCAAATGATCATGTCACTGATTGTTCAAAGACAACATCACCCCTGCTACAATAAGTTGTGTATGATGATAACACTAAGACATGAAGTTTTTAACACTCAGGCCATGGACAGGGAAAAGTAGGTTTCACAAATCCTCAAGAACTTGATGGTCAATGAAGGATTCTGTCTACTTTACAAATCTGTATCCATCAGGACTGCATCCCACATCCAGCTGAACTCTCAAATGTGGAACTAGGAAGACTGTGCACAAGCGTCCGGGGCATCTCCTTTGAGAAGTAAGCAGCTCTCTGAGGCACTTCTTACACAGATGGACAGCTACATCCTTAAGAAGTCAGCTCATGGATTCGTGTTCTCACACGCATGGACTTCAGAGGTAGTTGCGAAGGTTTTGGCTGAACTTGATGAAACTACATTTATAGTTCATTGCAGTCTCAAGTATTTAGAGCACGTCCGCTTGGAGCCAAATGAAGTTGCAGAGTTTGATTATGCCATTATCGTCCACCAAAAGTCAGCAACGGTTCTGCACAACGCCTGTGTGAAGAACTGTTGAAAGGTCATCTTCAGTTTGTCATGTCTCACATGTCACTGACACACCCAGTCGCATATCGCGACGCAATTCAAACACTGCTTCAAAGAGAGAATTTCAAAATGAGAGATGCACACTCAAAGAAACAAATACTGTCCTTCATTCCTATTTGCAACATACCCTCCTTAGAACTGAAATTGTTGGAAGTAGCTTCAGGAAGTATTTCCACATTGCAATGCCTTTCAGATGTGTAGCAGATATGGTAATGTAAGACTCATGAGACTGCTTATCGAGAAGATCGAGAAAAATGCTCCATGCTGCAGCAAAGAGATACAACGAGGGAGAATTATTTAGAACCTGTGCTAAGTGGAACCATGCAGAAGGATGTCGGGTTTTGTTGAAGTATGTGGATGTCAACTCCACCAGTAAACGGGCAACACAGCCCTTCACTCACGCAGCCAGCTCGGATAACCTGGAACTGTTATCTCTCCTCTTGAATCAGGATGAAATTGATGTTGATGTTCTGAATAAGAAAAGGAGACCGCGTTGGCAATGGCTTTGTATTGTAAGCATGAACAGGTGGCAGAAACTTTGATAAAAGCTCGAGCCAATACACTACTCAAAGATAAGTATGGTCGGACAAGCTTTCTGATAGCAGCACTTGTTGGGTCTGTGTCTATTCTAGAATTGTCACTGAAAACAGATCATAGATGCATTAATCACTGTGATGCCTTTGGAAACACGGCCTTGCATCTGGCAGCAATAAAGGGCCAGACAGGGTGATCAAACTTCTCTTAAAAGAAGGTTTAGACATTCAGAAAGGAAACATGGACAGGATGGCGCTTCTCCATATTGCAGCTACAAATGGACGATACTCTGTTGTGGATCCCTTCTCAGCATAGAAAGAAATTCAGCTACTTCTAGACAAGACGGAAAGCGTTTTTTGTCCGAGGTGTCTGTGGATCTTAAAGATATTCATGGCATGGCACCGATTCACCACGCAGCCATGTGGGGTTATGAATATGTATTAGGAAGACTTTTGCAAAACAAGAGCGAGGTTAACCTGATGACCGAGAAATCTGAAACTAGCGCTGCACTTAGCAACTCAGGGCAGCCACATTGAAACTGTACAATCCTTCTCAGAAACAAGGCTGATCCGAACTTGTCATGATGGGGATGGGAAGAACTCCTCTTCACATTGCTGCGAGGAAGGACATCTAAAAATAGTAAAACTCTTTCTCAGGAGAAGGTAGACACTCAGAAGGTAGACGAAGACAACAAAACAGCTCATGAGTTAGCTTTTGCAAATAAACATCAAGCATTGTGAAGGAGATTTCCAAAGTTCGAAAGAAAAGAACTGAAGGAACAGAACTCTCTCAATACATGTTGGAGAGCAGGCATGACCGGCACCCTTCGAGGGTTAAAGGGGAGAGTACAGTAAACTTGGTACCATTTGTGATCGCTATCATTATTGTGGTTTTGATGTTTGGTATTCTACACTATCATAACGTAGATCTCCGGTGACTGATCTGGTCACACAGTCGACAAAACATCCTCTTAAGGTTACAAGAATCAATTTGGAGTGGTTTAAAGAACCTATCATTTTGGGAAGTTCAGACAATTGTTCCTTATACTTAATTTTATGTACCTGTCATTGGACATATTTGAAGTTAGCAACCCGGAACTGATTAAGAGAATGTGTTTGTAGATTAGCAGTGATCTAGTTATAGAAATTTCGCAGCTATCTTGCATGTCACAACCCATAGAGTCACTGGACGGATAATCGAGACTGGTTGTGTTCTTGTGGTGGCTTTACCTAGTACCTCCCTTGTGTTGGGGCCCTTACTTGTGTCATATGTTCCTGTGTTTCATCAGATTGGGTGCCGCCAGTCGGACAGCATACTCTCACGTTTTCAAGATAATGTGGCATAATAATGTGCTGATACTTATTCATAAATGCATGCTTATGACATACATGTCGTCAATGGACTTTCTTGTGATTAGGGAAAGTTTTTTGTAACTTTTATGCTTACACAAACGATACTTTTTGCTTTGATTATGTGATGATTGGAAAGAGTTTTCACGCTTTTAGTTTAGGATTTTAACAGTTTTAATCGCTTTAAAGAATATAGAAATATTTTTATTGCTTCTATTTCTATGGGGTCACCAGGATATGTTAATGCATTGTGTGATGCCATGCATTCTGACACAAAGTTGACATGTAGTCAGTGGACTTTCTTGTGATTAGGGAAAGGTTTTTGTAACTTTTATGATTATACTATGAAATGTTATTACGTTGTGTGACGCCAAGTATTCTGACATAGAGTTGACATGTCACTGATAATGTTACTACATTGTGTGATACCATGTTTTCTGTCAGTAAGTTGACATGTCACCGATAATGTTACTACATTGTGTGATACCATGTATTATGGCAGTAAGTTGACATGTCACCGATAATGTTACTACATAGTGTGACGCCATGTTTTATGGCAGTAAGTTGACATGTCACCGATAATGTTACTACATTGTGTAATACCATGTATTCTCAAAGTAAGTTCACATCTATGAAATCAAATCATATCAGTCTTACATGACCATCCTAGATACATTGAACACATTGGCACGTTGAACTGACCACTTCAACTGCTCACAGGACATATATCAGCTGTGAACACTGATGCCATGCTGTTCTGCTGACAACATTAAAAGAACAAATAATAATGAACTACAAGCACCATGGACTTATGTACTTTATTCATAATAAATGTTGGTTCATGAGACTTGATGTCCATTCAAAACATGGTCAGAAAGGCATATGAAATATAATATACAATTTCTGTGTTAATTTCTGTAGTACTCCTGAAGTTTAGCTTTGACATCAAATGACGCATTATTGTATCACCTGAGGAGGTAACCAATGTATGATTATAGCAAATAAAAAATTAAGGTCCCTTTGAGTTTATTTTTAACGTTATTTACTGTAGCATTTAAAGGACCTCAGTTTTTATCATAAAAGTATAGTTTGTATCAAACAAGAGTCATCAGAAAATGACATATCCCCCTGGCCCCCACATCTTTGAAAGAACAAATCATCTGACAGTTACTTAAAGTCCAGCCTGATTTTACACTAAGTGCAAATCGTTTCCATGGAAATGATGAAAAACATAAATAACAAACATCTGCAAACAGCAAAAAGGCACCACTTCAAGATCTGCCTCACATAGCTGCCAAGTTTTACTGAAAGATATTAAGAAGTTTTTGAAACGAAAACCCACCTCCCCCTTTGAGACTAAGTCTAAATCATCGCTTCCATGGAAACCGGAAAATAAAAAGACAAAAATCTGTAAATAGCAAAAGGCACCACTTTGGGATCTGCCTCACATATCGCCCAAGTTTTGCTGAAAAGATATTGAGAAGTTTTTGAGTTGTGCTCGAAATCCAAACCTACCCTCCCTTTTGAGACTAAGTCCAGATCATTCCATGGAAACAGGAAAAATAAAAATGACAAAAATCTGCAAATAGCAAAAAGGCACCACTTAAGGTTCTGTTTGTTATATCTACCAAGTTTGTTGATAAATA